CTGTACGTAGACAACAAGGCCATGCTGGCCTTGTGTCGGGAGCAGCGACTGGAGCACAGAACGAAGCACATTGCTCTCCGCTACTTTCTTGCTCGTGAGCTGCAGCAGCGTGGTCAGCTGCGTCTTGCGTACGTGACCTCTGAGGCCAACACTGCTGATATCTTCACCAAGGCACTTGCGCCTTGTGACCATCAGCGCTTCTGTACTCAGCTGGGCCTTGTGCCTACCTTGCCTCACTTGCTCACCTCTTGACCTTGCTTGTACTGTTACATATATATATACCTGCTCTTGTTTGTCTAGCCTTTTTTATATATATGTGTACTCCTGCTTGTGAACTGGCCTTGTGGCCTTGAACTTGTGCTCGGAATGTGTGGTGACTTTGTGATCCACCCTGAGCTTGTTTTTGCTTTGCTTTGCTTGACTGGTCTTGTGACCCCTTGTTCTCCCCCACTTTGCCTATGGGGGTGTGTCAGATTTATATGACATAGCTACTGTAGGCTAGAGTGGGGTAGCACATATGGGGTACAGTTTTCTAGGGTTTGCTTCTTGTACCCAACTTTCACTTAGTCATTCTCATTCCTGTTTTTCTTAATTCATAGGTCCATGTCTTGCTGCTCAGCGTGGATTTCGGCGCAAAGTGCTGCTTCAGAAATTTTCCCGTGGGCTCGTAGTATGGCGCGAGTGGAGCGCCAGTGAGGACCAAGACCGCCGATGACAACCGTGACGAAGGCGTCCTCTGAAATCGATCCTCCACATCGAAGAAGCTTGTCGCGCAGCTCGCGGCAGCGACTGATATACGCCATTCCCTTCTCGCCTGGTTTCATTTCGATTGTTGTCAGCTGCGCCATTAACCGACTTTGGTTTACGCTGTCTGTTGCTTGATACAGGCTCTTCAAGTGATTGTACGCGAGCTCCGCGGAGTTGCCGTAGCCTCGGTAAGACCGTATGTTTTGTTGTTGAGTTGGAGTGATGTTCCTCAGTAGTATCGTGTACGCCATCATCGATTGATAGGTGTACTGCTGCTTCTCATACTGTGTGCCGTTTGTTGGGTATGGCAGGGACCCGTCGAAGAAGCCAAGGATTTGCGCTCCTTCCATCATCAGCTCGAATTCGAACGACCAGGTAAAGAAATCCTTCCCGTCGAAGGGTTTTGTCGTTTGCAGTTTTAGAACGTGCGCGAACTGCGACTGAACTTGTAGTGCGTCCAGCGTTCTCTCTTGTCCCGGTGCAGGTTGTGGTTGTGGCATGAAGCTGACGGAGCCGCGCTGGGGCTCGTACGGAGCGAAGGTAGGTTGCTGATGTTGATTCCCGCGTGCGTAGGATGAGCCATCGAGACTCATGGGCGTCACGTTGTTGTTGTTGTTGTTGTTGTTGCTGTTGTTTGATTGCGCAGGTGCTCCTTGCTGATGCTGCTCGTAGAAGGACATGAAGGAGAAGAACTTCTCCATCATGCTTGGATCGAAGCCCGCGCCTTGGTTTGCGGGTGTTTCAGTAGACCCAGCTGCCGGTCTCGTTGTTGTGCCTTCCTCTGTTTGTAGGCCAGAGGCAGGAGGTGGAGTAGGAGTAGTACCAGGAGAGCCGTTGGAGGAGCTCCTCTCCTTTCTGGTAGACATCTCTCTTGGTGTATTAGGTGTTAAGGAGAAATAATTTTAACCCTAACCAGCTCTCATACCATGTTGGGCTGAGTGCCCCTTAGGATCTTTGGTAGGGTTAAATTCTGGGTAGAGTGATGTAGTAGCGGAAGCGTTTAAATGAAGTCCTTGAACCACCTTGCGCTGGTATGTGAGGGCAAAGTAAGTTGATTAAAACAAGCAAGTACAAAGGTTTATATAAGAGTACAAAGAATACGAAGAGATATAATTAAACTGTTTTACTGTTGCGGTTCGATACAATGCGATTCGGGCAACTGCTCAATGTCGAGTCAGTTGTGTGTCCTTGCTGTCGCGCTGCATTTGTCAAGTCAAAGGTCGCTGACCTTTGACTTTCGCGTAACCTCCAGCGGTTACTTCAACCTCCGAGGGTTGACTCGCTGGTGCCTCGATATGCTCTGCTTCGCTTGTGCCTTGGTGTTTCGACACGACAGAGGCGCTTAAGATTGTTTGTTCCCAACAGTTTTAACCCTACTCATAAGTGTTTCCTCCACTCCTTCGACCGCTCATTGTGTTCCATGGTATGAATGAATGGCACTGCACTAACGCCTTATTTTCTTGAGCTTGTGCAGGATGTTAAATTCGCTGCAGAGAAATGGTTCATTGAGAATGATGCTCGCGAGCAGAATCAACTGGGCATGCGCTGATGGCACAGGCCCCAGGCCCAGCGAATTACTTAGACTTTCAATGAGGAGCCCACTTCATGATACATGTTTACAAGTGCCACCAATCTATGAGACAATGAGTTGTGATTTGTGTTGTCAGCGTTTTCATTGTTACTACCTGTGTTTACACGTTTCTGGTGTGATTTGGAAAGCGGGCACCAGCAGTTGCACCCTAATAAGATTTTTTCATATGCTTCTCTATAATGTTGTGATGTGTCGAAGTGAGAATAATGTGTTTGCGTTGCTGGACTCGGTTGCACGATAGAGTAGATACAGTGATTACACCACGTGCAGTTCCTTAGGCCTTGGAACTCTGTCCACGTCTTCTGCCGCGTCACCATCAGGTCGTTGCGCGCCTGGTGGATTACACGTGTGCGGGGCAACAAAATTGCGGCTTGGCGTGTCACATCACAGTAGCCCTTCGAGAATGTCATTGCCCAGCCTAAACCTGTCGGTTGACGGTCTGCGATGGTCACAACAAGCTGTTGCGACGGATATAACAAGTTATGTATGGTTACCGTCTGAACTCGAACGTCAAACAACGGAACAAAAATGCTCCGACGAACAAACATTGGCGACGATCCCTGACGACCGTCAGGTCTTTTGGACTACTACAGCTGGCGGCGACTTGGATCTCTCCCTTCCCAAATGCTTCAAACCCCAATGACCATGGCATGTGCCGTGCTCGTCCCTTCGGCTGCCCAACATATCTGAAGTTCTACATCACCACAGCAAAAAACACTTCGCTTCGTGATTCACCACCACAGCAAAATACACTATCGGCAGCCTGCTTCATCAGAGTTCGCCTGCCCAAAATTTCCTGCTTGGGGGCAGGTTTATTTAGCGGATCAATATATCTCCGCCAACTCCGCTGGTTTCCTCCCGAATTCACGTCCACCACCACCATGCACGCTCGAGCCGCGATGCATTCCAAACTCATCACGATGTTCATTCGTTCATGCCCGTCTCTTCCAACAACCCATATTTCAGCCCTGCCCCAATTCCCCATGCTCCAATTCCTATCTCGAAGCTGGAAGCCCTCCAATCTCACAGCCTCGAGTTTGCATTCCAGCCCGCCATTGTCAATTCAAGTACCCTTCCGCGCTGAGCTGTCTTCTTACCTTGAAGTTTCATCATTTTCCCACTCTCGACGCTCCCTGCTTTCTCACGCTCCCCTGTCGCTTCCGTTCCGAACCCTCGCTTTCTTCCTCCATAATCGCACGTCAGCAACTAGCAATTGCAACTCGGCTTCACTGCAAGCCAGGCTTCGTCAAGCCTTGCTGCTTCCAATATCTCTGGCGCTGGGCCTGCTGGTGACTCAGTCTTCACACAGCCTGACGTATTAAACCCTCTCCGGCCGTTCCCAGTCAAGAGCAAGCCTTCGTCGGAAACCACTCAGCTTCGTAACAGAGTTTACCTGCGTAATCCCCGTTTCCGGCATCCTGACGCTATTGATCAGCATTTTCAGTCGAGTAGATTTGTCTATGGAAAATAATCGCTTTTTGTCCTAGTACTAGGAGGAGGTTCGTGACCGGAGTCCTGTCAATTTCGCGTCCCAGGAGGGACTCGGTGCGTCCGAGTCTTCTCACGAATCCTCCTGGGAGCAAACGCGAAGCTTCAACGCGATTTAAGGCCTGCAGTTTCGACTCTGCTCAATCTAATCAATCAGTAATATCATCACGTCTTTAATCTGCTAAGGTCCCCAGGCAGGGCCGGGGAAATGACCAACCGCGGCCGCCTCGCTTCCCCTGGATCTCCAGAGGGGCGTCGGCAGCTTCGATCGATCGGACGTCAGCAGCAGCGTCGGCCACGCCATCAGCATCAGCAGCGTCAGTTATCCCCAATTCAAAGCATAACTACGATCCGAGTGATTAAATCAAGCGGCGGTGCTTCCTGGAAGGTGGTTTCGGCGGCTCGCGTCTCAGGAGAATCAGCTGTCATCTTCGCGAACTTCGCGAACGTTTTCGAGACGGCGTCGTCTTCTGCAGCGGACTTTGAAGCATCGCTACGAGCCGTGATTGCAGCTCCACACCACCGTATCGCGCGATTGGCCCCGACATCATCCGAGGTGACAGGCAACGACGGGCTGTCGGAAGCTCGAAGCGTTCCAGCTTTTGCTCAGTCAGCTGGCTCGCTGGCGCGTCGACAGCCGTCGCACGTTGCACAGTCGTCGCTTGATCCGTCGCACGAGCTCGTGCTAGTTCAGGGGGGGATTCGTCGTCGAGAATTATCCGCCAGCGTCGCCGGCGCTGGCGGGTCCAGCGTTATCGCAGCTGCAGTCGTCGATCCAACTCCAGGCTCCGCGCTGATTCCACCGTGGGTCGCGCGCGCACGTCTCTTGGTCAACCCGTCCTTGGCCTCTCTCTGCATCACGCGCCCTCCGTTTACGTTCCATCCGGTTACATCTCGTCCCGTTACACCTCTTTCCGTTACACCTCCCCCCGTTACGTGTCAGCGTGTTGTTGCCGCAGCCGTACTGTCCTCCCCTCTGGGTCGGTTTCTTAAGTACCGCACTTATCGAAGGTAGGATTTCTCTGGACTCCAGGGAAGAACCAGGATTAAGTACCGATCAGTAGAATATCTGTCAGTTTTAGTAGTAACCGGAGATTGTTCGTGGCGAGGCAGGTTGTTATCGCACGGTTCCTATTTCCTCAAAGTCGTTGAGCTATCACTGCCACGTGTCACTATGTCAGTCCCTCCAGAACCGTCCAGCGCGGCGTCGTCGTCGTCCACGTCACCTGCATCCATGGGCACGTCAGCAAACGCCGCCGCCACGTCATGGAAATCTGAGATGGATGCAGCAGGATTTTCGCCGATTGCACCTGGAAGGAAAGACTCTACCACTGCTACAAATGCACGGGAAACCACTATTGTTAGGGAGGGTGCGCTGCGTGCGAATAGTAGCAGTCGTGGATTAGCTGGTCAGATGGAGGAGAGGAAGAGACAAGAGCGAGAAGCTGAAGCACTCCAGCAACGGCTGTTGCAGCAGCAGCAGCAGCAGCAGCAGCAGCGGCAGCAGCGGCAACAAGAGCATCTGGAACAGCAGAGCGAGGAGCAGAAGCAACAGGAGATACAAGAGCAGAAAGAAGAGCGATGGAGTTTGCCACGTGAGTTCCACAAGACCCAGGGACTGGCAACTTGGCACGGGGTCGGAATTGGAAAGTCGTTGGAGCGTGAGGGGGGGGAGGAGGAGTGGGGGGAGCGGGGGGACGAGGAGGGGGGCGCGCAGGGGGAAGGGGAGCTACACCATGGGGAGCGCACACGGGCGAGAGGGGGAAGAAGGGGAAGCGGCGGAGGCGGAAGGGGAGGGGGAAGGGGGAAAGGAGGAGGAGGTGCGAGTGGTGTGCGGGGGGAAGGTGGATGTGGGAGTGAAGAAGGGGGGAATGGCAAGAGGCAAAAGTATGCCAGTACAAGTCATTGGGAAGGAGCTGGAGGAGCAGGAGAAGGAGCGGAAAGAGAAGTTGCTGTTGCTTCTCTAGGCGGAGGGCAAGGGGCAGGAGAGGAGGATGGGGCAGGAGGAGCAAAAGGCGCGACGGCGTCTGCCATCCGAACGTCCTCGTCAGCAGGCCGAGCCTCAATGCTAGGTGCGGCGGCGGCGTTGGCTCGGGACCGCCACTCCAAGGTGCCAACCGCCCGGGGCATGCGCGATAGGCGGGTGCGCTTATCAGCCCCGGCCGCCACTTCTTTCTATGATGTGCAAGATAGGCTCGGCGCGGATACCCCCTCTGCTGCGCTTGAGTGGCTGCTGTATCATGCCCAGCATGCCATAGCTCGGCTGCCAAAGCAGCCTGCACGTTCGGGAGGACCAGGCTCAGCAGGAGGTCCGGAAGGAGTTGCGGGACTAGGTGTGGAAGAAGCGACCGCTGTGGGCATTCGTGCAGGTGTTGATGTCATTGGTTTTGGTGGCACTAGGATAAGTTCTGCTGCTGCTGCAGCTGGTACTCTGCCTGCTTCTGCTGCTTCTGAGGCGCATTATAGCGAGGATAAGGCAGTAATTCCAAAGTTGCCACTCCCGCCACTTTCCCATGCCACACCTCGCGGCATTGGCATCAGCAGCAGCAGCACCTACAGAGGTGGTTACAGCAGCATTCTCCCTTACTCCACATTCCCGCCTCCTGACCCTGCTTCTGCTACTGCTGCTGCCGCCGCCACCGCCGCTGCTGGCTACCCTACTGCTGTTGCAAGTGAGGCTGTCCCTCTCAACGATCGTGCAACCCCTCACTATCCCACTGCACCTGCTTCAGCCGCTGCTGCTGCTGCTGCTGCTGCTCTGACTGGCTATGGCGCTCCTCTGTATCCCAGTGCTCCTGGTCCTGCTGGCTATGGCGCTTATGCCATGCCTCTGCCTTTCTTTGGTGACTCTGCAGCATTTGGGTTGTCAGCACGAGGGGGGTTACCAGCAGGGGCAGCAGGAGCATTTGGGGGAGGAGGAGGAGCAGGAGCAGGAGCAGGGGCAGAAGGAGGAGCAGCGAGATTTGAATCAGGGAGGTATTTGTATGGGTATTTGCCAGCAGGGCATCTACCAACGAGTTATTTTCCCGGGGTGATTTACCCCAGCGTTTACTCAGGTAACCGTCCCAGCAGCCTTCCAGGCCTTGCCGGTATGGCTTTCCGAGGAGCACAACCACCACCACCACCACCGCCACCAGGAGTGTCTGACAGAGTAGGAGGTCCAGGAGAGTCAGGAAGAGTGGGTGGAATGGAAGGGAGAGGGGGAGGAGGCAGAGGAGGCGCTAGTTTGGGTGGGGAGGAGGGAGGGAGGGGAAGGGGAGTGGAGGAGGGAGGAAAAGTTGGTAAAGCAAAAGCAGCCCTTGGGGCATTCTACGAGGCACCTGGAGGGAAGGCTGGAGAAGGGCAGGGTCAACACCAGACGCAGTCCGCCCCCCACCCTCCTGGATCCGCAGCTTCTCTTTCTCCTCCTGCACCCGCTGGTGCTGCCACTCCGGCTCCTGCTCCTGCTCCTGCTCCTGCTCCTGCTCCTGCTCCTGCTCCTGCACCTCCTGCTGTCGTTCCTGCTGCTCCTCTTGCTGTTGTTCCTGTTACTGCGGCTCCTTCTCGGCCTCCTCCTCCTCCTGCTTCTCCTGCTTCTGCTTCTGCTGCTTCTACCACTGCTGCCGCTGCTGCTTCTGCCGCTGTTGCTGCTGCAGTTTCTTCCTTCCCTCGTCCTGCTCCTGTTGCCACTGCTCCTCATTTGTCACTTCTTCCTCCTCCTCCTCCTGGCACTTCTTTCCCCAAGGCAGCTGGTATCTCTCCAGCCCCGCTTCTGTCTCTCCCACCCACTTCCATCCCCCTTGCCCCTCTCACGCTCCCTCCCCGTTTCCCCTGGGACGAGGAGTTTTCTCTTCTGAGCTCTAGAGGGGGTATAAATGCGCCAGGTGCTCCTTCAGATGAACCCTCAGGTGCTCCGTCTGTTGCTCCAGGTGGTCTTCCTGATGTTCCAGGCGCCTTGGCTGTGTCTCGTCCGGAGCGGTTCTCTCCTGGGGGCATTGCAGGGGTGAGCAGGGGAGGGTGTGGAGCAGAGGGTTACAGTGTAACGGGTTACACACCAGGTGGTTACATGTCACAGGGTTACATGTCACATGGTTACATGCATGAGGGTTACATGCCTGAAGGTCACCCACTAGGGGTTAGTGGGTACAACATAGGAGATTTGAGTGCTGGTGGTGGGTTTGGTGGGAGAGGCGTTGGTGGTGTGAGTGGTGCTGTTGGTGTGAGTGGTGCTGCTGGTGTGAGTGGTGCTGCTGGTGTGAGTGGTGCTGCTGGTGTGAGTGGCTTGGCAGGTGGGAGGAGGGTGGAATCACGGGCGCATGCAAGGGAAAGGGCTCGTACTCGTGCTGCTGCAGGGGCAACAGGAGCCTCTGCTGCTGCTGCTGGCACAGCTACCGCTGCTTCTTCTGCTCCTGCTCGTGCTCCTGCTGTTGCGCCTGCTCCTGCTCCTGTTTCTGCTCCTGCTCCTGTTTCTGCTCCTGCTCCTGCTCTTGCTCCTCCTCCTGCTCCTGTCCCTTCTTCTGCACCTCCTGCTGCAGCACCCCCACCAGCACCACCACCAGCTCAAGTATCAGACGCACCAATTTCACGTCCTCATGCCATCAGGTCACCTGCCACATCTGCCCTGGGTTCCAAGGCGGATACACCTCTCCTTGCCCTTCCCCAGGCTCGCCAGTACCATCAGCAGCAGCAGCCGCAGCAGCAGCCGCAGCAGCGGCGGCCGCAGCACTATGAGCAGAATGAGCAGCATGAGCAACAATACCAGAATCAGCAGCCAATGCACCCTCCCCCACTGCTTACCCCGCGCCCTCCTCCTCCGCTCGCCCCTGCCTCGCCCGCTCATGCAGCTGTTTCCACCCACCCAAGTCCTCCTTATGCTGAAGCTGTTGCTGCTGCTGGTGACGGTGCCCGTGGCCCTCCAGCTGCTGCTGCTACTGCTGCTTCTGCTGTGGCCGCTGCTTCGGTTGCTGCTGTTCCGACCACTGCTGCTGGTGCCGGTGCCATGGGTGGTGGTATTGCAGTCTCTACAGCAGCTTTTTTGAATGACAGCGTTGATGGTACCCGATGGGGTATGCACTCTCATGCTGCGGCTGCGGTACCTGGGAGTGGTGACGTTTCTCCTCGGGAGTTGGCTTTCGGCTTCCCACAGTTCAACAACATGCCTTTCCAAGGCCACCATGGCTTGCCGCACCCACACCCACATGACATGCCACACCACATGCCGCACCCGCATGACATGCAAAACCAGCATGGCTTGCCGCACCCCCATGACATGCCACGTGACGCACCAGTTGACTCACACCATGCCACATTTCATGACATGCACTTGCACTCGCAAATGCCCATGCCCACACACATGCCCATGCACATGCCCGCAAACATGCCCACGCAGGTGCCCATGCACATGCCTGCACACATGCCCATGTCGCCTTTAGAGCATCGCTTCAGCCTGTCTGACCTCTACCATGACCACTCATCTTCGCCCTCTCATGAATTTCCATTCCATGACCATGACATGCACAGGGATTCTTTGCATGGCCATGATCATGAACATGGTGACATGCATGGGCACTCGTTGGATGGCCATGACCATGAACATGACATGCATGAGCATTCACTACATGGCCATGACCATGGCCATAACCATGACATGCACAACATGCATGGTGGTAATGGAACACGTTGCATGCATGACACACATGATTTAGCATGACAAGCATGGCATACATTAGGTGCGTGGCAGACATGTGCATAGTGCGCACATATGACATGCATGGCTCACATGATGTGTCATACACGACGGTTATCACTTCGATGGCACATCTGACGACATGCCATGATGCCATGTACTGGTACGGGCAAGTGTTGAGGCGTAGTATGGGGAATGGGTGTGATATTGGAAGTCTTCCTTGCTTTTCTTTCTTCTCCTTCCTTCTTGTCGCAGCATAGGATGTTGACACAGATGTACTGGTACTGTAGTTTCGTGCGGGGAGAATGGAGGGTGGTGGTTTTATGGAGACGGATGTGATATTACTGTATATAGTAAATGCAAGTTTAGCATCTACTGCAGCTGCTTAGAGTTTGTCACATCACAATATGCAGATTTTCATCAGTGTTATGTGAAATCGTACATAGCTTCAAATTGCCATGTATGAGCTGTGTTACAATCCTGTTGTTCTCACTTATTTTTTCTTGAAGGATGCAACTAAGCCATAGCGGTGTATTCATCCACAGCCGTAACTGATTAGTCCGCACTTTCACTTGTCCGTTGGCTGGGGTCGAGGGTCCACTCCAATCGCGTATGACGCGTGGAAAGGATGCTTGTGGCTTTTCAATTCCACCCAATGGTCGTGAGCGGTGCCCTACATTTCAGGGAAAACGTTGCGCGTGCGGCGCGTCCCGCGCGGCCTGCGCAGCCTTCCGGGAATCTCTCTCGGAATCTCTGTTGCGGAACTGAAATGTTCTGTTTCATCGAGCTAAACGTTTCTCTTTGGTAACGCTTTTCTTGATTTTGCCTTTGAGGCTTGTTTTGATTGGTTGGTCGAAGGGTATCTCCGCTCCAGAGCACCTAGACTTTTCAAAGCGGCAGAATCTAGGGTGCAGCCAAACGGCTTTATCGAGGTCATTCTCACCAGCATTCGTCCTTCGATTGTTTCCGTTGATGGCTCTTGGGCCCTCCAAGTGTCAGTGGCTTGTTCCCACTTTTCGTGTTGTCAAGAACTCCATACTGGTTCGGTGTTTGTCAAGCGTTGTCTAAAAGAGTCACTGCGGAAACCGTTTGGCTGTCTTCAAGACCGCATTAGTAGTTGCGAAAGTCGACTCGAAGCCACTCTCCAGGCACCCTTCTGAACTCACGATTATCCGGAGATCAAGGTTCCTGTTTCTCGACAGTTCCATTGTATATACTGAAAAGATACTAATCGTCACGACTCACGAGTCGCTTTTACCAGACGAAGAAGCAGACTATGGCGGACGCACAGGGAGTGAGCATGCTATGTATGCACATGGACGATCGACTTGCTCCCTCCTCTCCGCGGAGCTGTCACGGTGGGGACCTGAATCTGAGCCGTTCAGCGGCTTCAGCCGAGGTAGAAAGCTCAGCTTTGAACCCTACGTGGCGTATTCTGCTGAGCAAGCGTATCTCATGCAAGGTGTTCAAGACATGTGAAAATGGACTGGGAGTGGGTTCTACAGACGGGTCATCGTCATAACAACTACGTAGTCTATTGAGAGGAGCTGTATTGGTGGGATGTGGAGTGTCTATACATCCTTTCTATAAGCGTGTACATAATCTAAGGTGTGGTCTTGTCTGGTTAGTGCTGTGTCATGAAAGCTATGGGCCAGAAGGTCGTAACACAAATCAAGCTTGCATCTCAGATCAGTACATAGTGGTAGCATGCTCACTAGGAGCTCAACTCTACATGGGCAAGACTTGCACAAACCAAGATTCTCACACACATGCACACACTCACTCACATACTAAGCACGTACAAAGTATACGATACCCAATACATACTAGCTTACATAGGACGCATGACAGGGTTGTGAAATCTGAGAGATTGGTTGACTGGTTGGGCGGTGTGTAACGTTAGCTGGGAGGCTCGTATGATAGAATGTGTGACCAATGCCTGCTGGGGTGTAGAGTGCATGGCAAGTGGTGGATGGCTGGTGGTGTGTCTGACAATTGGTGGATGGGTGTCGGGGTGTGTGACAGTCGGTGGACAAGAACTGTGCAATGTGTGACGAATGGAGGCCGGGACGTGGTAGTGTGGTGACAGGTGGCAGGGCTGTGGAATGTGTGATGATTGGTGGATGAGTTTTGGGGTGTGGGAGGATTGGTGGACTAGACGTGGGAGGATTGGTGGCAGGACCATGGAATGTGTGACAATCAGTTGAAGGGTCTTGAAATGTGTGACGATTGGTTGGTGGACTAGTCGTGGACAGGCCATGGAATGAGTGACGATGGGTGGAGCGGTTGTGGAACGCGAGGCGGTTGGTGGAATGCGAGGTGGTTGGTTGACGGGCTGTGAACGATGCCACAGTTGCAATATGTGCCAGCTCTCTTCTCCAAAAAGGTAGAACAAGTAACTGCCTCGTGTAGGGACGATGCCTCAAAAGTATCCGCCTTATGTGGGGACGACCTTGGACATGATCTCCTCTGTGGTGACGCCAATCATCTCATTGGCACGTTTGAGAGACACAGGCGAGTAGAACCCAGCAGAATCCTGCAGCAAGAGGAGGGTGGGGGTTGGTGGGGAGAGGATGAGAGGTGGTAAGAAGATCAGCTCAGATAGATCAAAAGTTTCTCCTTAAGTCGAGCTGCTCGGTGAATGCAGACATCCTACTAGGTTTGTATGCTTGCAAAGACATACCTTGTAACCTTGGTGATGAGGCTGAGAACTGTGAGCTTGTTGCTTGTGGGCATTACCATCTGCTACAAAAACCTGTCTATCCTTTGCTTTTAAGCCTGACTAAGTTTGCTGCTCGCTGAGAATTATGTCACATGCTTGTGGGCATTACCAGCTGCTACAAAAACTCAAACATCCCACCCCACTAGCTTTGCGTGATTGGAACGAGATTCGAGACGTCTTAAACTCGGTGCAACTCATTGCAACTCAGAAAACCCTTTAGGTTTGCACGCTTGCAACGACGCACCAGGGTGACGAGGCCAAGGGCTGTGAGCTTGTTGCAAGCATCAGCAACGTCAAAGTCGAGCTGCTCGTTGAACTCAGCCATCATGAGGTCCTCGCACCTCTCATCCAGCTCCTGAAACAATCAAAAGCCACAAGTGCACGGAATTCTGAGTTGACAATAAACGGCTCAAACCTCTCATCCAGCTCCTACACTCCTACATGCTGCGTGTTGCGAGTACAACCGTCGCAAATTGCAGTCGTTTCATCGGTACCGCATGGGAGGGTGCAACGAGAAAAACACACAAAACAAAGAAGGGAGAATGTAGAAGGGAGATTCGCTGCCTGACCTGAAGTGTCGCTTTGCCCTGGGTCATGAGAATGTAGAAAGAGATAACGACCTCCTTGACCTGCTCAGCACACAGCATCCAACAGGGGAGACGAAAAGAGCGTGCAAAAGATGAGTTCTGAGGCCCCTCAAAGGAATGTAGAGGGAGATTACCATCTTTGGCCTGCTCAGCACACGGCTCCGGTTACGACCGACGGTGTTTCTGCGTTGAAAAATGTTGGGGTTGCAAAAAAAAAAAAAAAATCAAAATCCAAAACAAGTGACCAGAAATGTGAGCCAGAAGGAGATTGCACCTCCCCCGCCTTGCCCCCTCACACACACATGCGCACCTCCTGTTCAATGACTTGGTGGAAGATGTTGAGCAGCATGCCGTTGCCACTGTCCAGCGTGCCGTCTCCCCCTCTATACCCACCCACCCCTCAAGCACGAACTCGCACACACACACACGCGCCGCACCTCCTGTTCAATGACTTGGTGGAAAATGTTGAGCAGCGTGCCGTTACCACTGTCCAGCTGCTTGGCATACATGGCGTTCATCATCGCCTGGTTGTACGCCGCCATCTTGCTCTGGTAGCTGAAGGGAGGGAGGGACATGGATGAGAGGAGAATGGGGATCACTACGGCTGCTTGGCATACATGGCGTTCATCATCGCCTGGTTGTATGCCGCCATCTTGCTCTGGTAGCTGAAGGGAGGGAGGGAGATGGATGAGAGGAGAATGGGGATCACTGCGGCTGCTTGGCATACATGGCGTTC